AGCAAGGCATCATGATTATTCTACTCCTCAGCATCTATTTTAAATGTAATCTAGTTACAGGTAATGTCATGAACATGTTAAATATATCTGATGAAAGTATTATACGCTGCTCCTTTTACGATTTTATGCCACAAATTTTGATGTAATATTTTGTTTGTACTTATATATTGTGTCTTACTTGTATTGGTGTCTGCTCAACAGTTTCCTCCTCAAGTGATCAAGTCAACCAGACTCCAGCTAATATTTACACAACAGGAGAAGAAGTTAAAATCTACTGCTCACACAGTATTCAAAGCTATGAAATGATTCTCTGGTACAAGCAGTCAGAGGAAACTCTACAGTTGCTTGGATACCTGCGTTTTGGCACAGGTTATCCAGAACCTGGAGTGAATGTGACAATAGATGGGGGTGCAAATGTAAAAGAGAAATGCACATTGACAATTAAGGACATTGAACTGAGCAGCAGTGGAGTGTACTTCTGTGCTGCTACTTACCACAGTGCTTCACATCTCTGCACCTCAATACAAAAACCTATCGAACACACTTGGTTTTCTCTATATCTCTATATTACAGCTCACAGCCTCTCACACCTGGAGTCAGCCATTATAACCAATGTCTCACAGACATCAGATATTATAATAGAAGCTTCCCTATGAGTAGCAATGAAACATTTAAGCTGCCACATCCTGTGATAAAAAAAGCACTCTTTAATATTTAAATTATCTGCAGTGTCTGATTTCATTGGGGGCAACATGCCATCATAAATTTCCCGTATATGTCACTTTCTCTTTGTTTTCACATTGAGTTGAGTCTCTATAATCTCTAAATAGTTTTTGTTGGTTTCTGTAATCTTGAATGTTTTTAATCAACCCATTACTAAAGACTTAATACTTAATAAAGATCTAATACATTAACACATGCATACATTAATGATAAGATATTTCTCTGAAAAAAAACCCCACTATGATGACGGCATTACGATAGTTTACCATTAAAGGTTTTTGTAAAAGAAACTGTTATTAACTTTTAAAGAAAAGGAAACTGTAAATGTGCTGGTTATGTTGTAAAGCTACATGAATACCAGCTCAGTTGCTGGAGTGTAAAAAACCTATAGCTGTTTTATAACTTAAATAACGCTACCTTTGGTAAAAGACCAGTTGTGACAGTGTTAACAACAGGTAGATACCAGCACAGATTAAGATGGAAACACAATAACAAGTACACTTATGTTCATTCAGTCAGAAAACACACCATCATGATCTTTTTCTTGCCTGTTCACACCCCCATGCACCTTTAACATTTCCTCTCATAAGGTGGCAGTATATATCCTTGCTCAGAATCCTATACTAAGCAAAGAGTGCACATTTGTAATAGTTTTTGACACAGTGATGTTTATGATAGTAAATTTAGGAAATAAGACTCCACCTGCTGAATGACAGTTTGCTCATGAGAAAGTTTCTTCATTGATGAGAAATAATCGACACAACTAAGATCATCATGATCATTCTACTCCTCAGCATCTATCCTAACATCCTAGTTTCAGGTAACACAGTGGATATGTTCAATATATTTTAGAACAGTATTATACAATGTTACTGACATAACTTTAAGCTGCATTTTATAATTCTTGTCTTTTCAACAGGTTCCTCTGTCAGTCATCAAGTCGACCAGACTCCAGCTAACATTTACACAAAAGGAGAAGAAGCTAAAATCTACTGCTCACACAGTATTCAAAGCTATAACACAATTCTCTGGTACAAGCAGTCAGAGGAAACCCTACAATTGCTCGGATTTTTATTTTTAGGTAAAGGTACTATAGAGCCTGGAGTTAATGTGACGATGGATGGGGGTGCAAATGTAAAAGAGAATTGCACATTAACAATTAAGGACATCGAACTGAGCAGCAGTGGAGTGTACTTCTGTGCTGCTAGTTACCACAGTGCTTCACATCACTGCACCTCAATACAAAAACCTATCAAACATATGTTCTTAATCTTTTTAATACAGCCTCACACCTGGAATCAGCCATTAAAACCAATGTTGGTCTCACAAAGATCAGATATTATAACAGAAGGTTCCCTATAAAAAAAACAACAACAATGCAACATTTGAGCTGCCATATCCTGTTATTAAAAACAATGACACAACCTTCCTACATGTATCATGTTCACCTTACTGATTTAAGTTTGTGACAATTTTTTAAGTTTGCTGTAACTTAAAATATTTTTTTTCCTATTATAATCTAATACAACCAAATGAATGATAAGATATTAATAGAAGCCAATCTCCAATTGCAAATACATCTGTAGAGGATTATTATTGGCTGCTGACTATGAATACAACAGCTTAAAGAAGAAAAAACAAAACATCTTATGATATATTATTTAAGTTTTAGATGTTTAACCATTAAAATACTCAAGACTTATATTTCATAAAGTACTAGAAAATTAGCGATTTAACTCTTTTAAATACATTGAATAACCAGGGCCATTACAGATAAGGAGTGGTTTCTCTCCTGCTCCATATTTTTCTTTTCCCATCACCTTCTATTTATCTGTCCAAACATTTTTTTCACAACTGTGTGGCCTCCTTTAGATTGTTTCTGGAAAAGTTTAAACGGTGCTTCTTAAATCTACTTGTTGTCTTCTGTGGTCATTCAGGCCTTTCCATGTTGCTGAAATACATTCCCTCCTTCTAACAATGTACCAGACTGTTAATTTGACCACTTTAGGCATTTTCTTTACTAAACCCCTTGAAATAAAGCTGAAAGTCTGCACATTAATCGCCTGTTTGACTTGAAATACAGCATGGTTGTTTACACATACAAACCTACAGCAAGTGTATCAATGTCAACATTGTAGCAGTTCATGATTTAACAGACAAAAATAATAGCTTCACTCTACAGATGTGAGTGCAGCTAATAAATGGGCCTGTACTTTATCAACTAAAGACTGTTAAAAGCAGTGCAGTTTGCTTCCTTACTGCTAGTTAGCAGAGGGGTTCATATCACTGCTCGTCAGTACATAAGCTTCCCAAACACCATCTCAGAGCCCTGTGTAGCTTTAAAACATCCCGTCGTAAGGTGGCAGTCTGTCTTTACCTTTAACGCTGAACCAGTTTTGTAAATTTGTGGCCAAGGTTGACACAGTGATGATTACAAAGCTAAGTTGAAGATATAGACTCCGCCTGCTGAATGATAGCTCACTTAAAAGGAAGATTACAAAGAAAGAAGGGTGCAAATGATCAGCACAACTGGGAAAATCTATCATAGCAAATCATGATTATTGTACTCTTAACTATTACTTTTTCATCTTTTTTCTTTCTTCTTCTTGTTTCAGGTAATGCCATGGATATGCTGATTGTATTATAGTATGACGCAATGCTACGATTTTAACTCTTTAGCTGCATTTTTTTTGTGCATACATTTTAAATTTAGATAATTTCAAGGCTTAATCTTGCATAATCTGTATTATCTTTGGTTGATGTCTGTTCAACAGGTTCCTCTGTAAGTGACCAAGTGAACCAGAGTCCACTTAATGTTTATGCAAAAGAAGAAGAAGAAGCTAAAATGCACTGCTCACATAGTATTCAAAGCTATGAAACAATCCTCTGGTACAAGCAGTCAGAAAAGCAGCTACAATTGCTAGGATACATGCGCTATGACAAGGGTTATCCAGAGGCTGGCGTGAATGTGACGATGGATGGGGATGCAAGACAACACAAGAACTGCATATTAACAATTAAGTATCTTAAAGTGAGCAGCAGTGGAGTGTACTTCTGTGCTGCTTATTACCACAGTGCTGCACATCACTGCACCTCAATACAAAAACCTATCAAACACATTTTTTCTGTATTAAATCTATATCAACGCTCACAGCATCTCACACCTGGAATCAGCCATTATAACCAAAGTTGGTTACAGAAAGATCAGATATTAAAATAGAATATTTAAACTGCCACATCCTATTATATTAAAAAAAAAAACATTGAATATTTAAAATATCTGTAATGTTGTATTCAAATGTGAGCACTTAGATTGTGCATATCACTTTGAAAACTCAATGGTTTTGTGGAAATCATTATAAAATGAAGACAGGCTTTTGTTGTTTTGCTTCTATTCACATTATGACATTACAGGTTTGTACCGAGTGTTGTGTAAGGCTAATTTAACGGGTTTAATGTTTTAACAAAACGAGAAAGGACTC